GAAGATTGAATTTAGCTTATTAAGCAGGTGGTATCCCTTATGAAAAATATGCTATATGACAAGTCAAGTCATAAGCTATCTGTGTGTTAAGCCGGTAGCAGCTCCCTTTAAAAATATTTTTTAAATAGAGCTTTCTTATAACACTTTCGTTTGATACCCATAATAAGTTATTTCGCTTAACTTTTGGAACAGGTGGCAACCCAACAGGTGCTCGCATAATTTATTGTCGTGCTGTAGATGAGTCGTAATCAGCTCAAGATTCGCTTGAGGAGAGGCTTATCTGAGGAATCTGTTGAAGATATTCGAACAGAGGAAGAATCAATAGCTGCTTCTGGGCTAGAACTTGGTGAATGTGGGTGACCACCGAAGATCACCTTGATGTACATCTAATCCTACAAGTCCGACAAATTCTAGATGTTTTCTAAGTCTACGACCTGTAGGAGGAATATTTGAAAAATTTAGCTACCAATGAAGAAAATCGATGTAGAAATAAGCAAATGATGATTGGTCAAATGAAATTGCGCAAGGATTTTTTGTATAAAATATGATTAGAAACGGGTGTTACTCATACGCCACGTACACCTGAGTGGGTAGAGAGTTTGCATCGAAAACAAGAGGACACGCCAACAAGCCAGACACGCGTGCACCTCGATGGATCTTCTTACTCTGAAACCTAATGCTACAGACATTCATGTTTCGACGAGCCATGACGAATTCGATATACCTCAGTCCGTTATGGGCTTCCAGAATCAACGGGAATTATACTCGCTGGTGGAGTAAAGAGAAAATTGCGGTCCAATTTTATTTCGAAGGCTACGGCCGCTGGAGATGGATAAGCTTCGGCATCGAAATAGCAGGATTATTGTTTTTCGCTACGGAAGCCTCATTATACCATTATACCGGACGCCATCGTCCAAGCACGAAGCGGTTCTGTAGTTTGAAAACAATTGCGAAATGTAAATTCCCCATTTTGGGAGTATGTATTTGCATACATATATACATAAATACTTACGCACATACATGAATGCATACAATCGCATTTGACGTCATTCCAGCTCTAGTAGTACCTGCTCTGTTTGATTAGAAGGCAGAAAAAGAAAATGTATGTATTTTGTGAACAAATTATTTATACTCGCACATTGTAAATATGTATTGTAGATAACTCACAACGTCCTATGTGAATAAAAAACTGTTTGATTACCATCCAAAACCATATTTTAAGTAAAAGTATGTAAACATGAATTTGCATACTAGGGTGGTCCTTAAAAATAACAATATCTAAATTTTATACGGTGTGCTTCTTTATCTTTTTCTGGAAACAGTAGAAAATTTTAAATAAATTTTTAGCGGTCGCTGCCAGGTATTGCAAAAACTATTTTTTTTTTTTTTTAAATCGCAAAAATTCCACATAATATTGATTTGAAATCTGATAAATTTGATATCATTTGATATGTCCTGTTATATCAGAATAGTCGGAAGAAATATTAGTAGCGTGTCGTGCACTTTGATGGCTGTTTTCTGCGTTTATGCTTTCATCAGTTTTTTTTTTACCATTCGGAGGCTGCGTAATACTTTTGTAGTGGATAATTTTATTGCTATATATATGTAATACTCATTCATATTTATTGTATACTTATTTCTTTTTTACAACGCAAACAAACCTAACTATAGATTTATAACAACATCTATAACGTTGCATATATATCAGTTTAATGCTCGCATAATTTATTGCCATGCTGTAGATGAGTCGAAATCAACCTAAGATTTTCTTGAGGAGAGTCTTATATGAGATAGTTGAGGAATCAGTAGCTGCTTCTGTGCTAGAACTTGGTGAATGTTGGTGACAACCATGAGGAGCGTGACCGCCATGGTGACCGTCATGACCGAAACCACCGAAGCGTCTTGGTTCACCACCGACTTGAGGTCCAAGTCCGCCAAATTCTGAAAGTTTTCCAAGTTTACGACCTGTAGGAGGGATATTTTGCATCTTATTGTTATAATGTTTTCGTAATCTAATACATACATTTACGTATGTACATATTTAAATAAGTGCACTCACCTTCAACAAGGATCACAGCAAAGGCGATAATAAATAGTGCGGTGAATATTTTCATCTTTCTGCTTTTTGTAAACTGAAGAATTAACCTCCCTTATATGTCTATATATGTCTATGATTTTGGTTTATAAAGAATTGAACGAACTAAATGTATAATATATATTTTAAAGATATTTTAATTTTTTTACAGTATTAATGAGCATGTCACGTTTCAAGTTAATCATTATTGTGGTAGACTTTGGTAAACGACATATGTATGTTAATATCCATTCTGGATTTTTTTTATTACACACAGCTTACTGTAATATTTACACGTGGAACACGAAAGCAGGCCCAGCGCGCTAATGAAAATTTCTAATTACACACGATTTTTCGCAGTATATCTACCAGGGTGATTGACTCGCTTTTTTTAAACCGATTTTTTTTGGGTATATATAGTCGGTATTTTGAAATCTTGATTTTTCAAATATCGAATAAATCGGTTTTTTTTTTTATACAACAGATTGAGTTTTTTATTTAATACAAATCTTGGTCTCTCAATAACAATACAAATTCTGAGTTTTTCGAAGTTTTCAAGGATTTCTCCAGTTTGGCTTCGCTAAATAGTTTTAAAATTATATGCCAGGCTGTTTGGGGATTTACAGTGTATCATATTTGATTCCAATAAATGAATGTTTGGCGCCTAAACTACTTAAGTACGAAAAAAAGTCAGAAAAAAATGAATAAAGTATAAAAAAAGTTATAAGATATAACGTGAATTTTTCACTGATTTTTATTTGTTTTACTTTTGATCTAAAAAAAAAAAAAACGTTGAATTTATTTTGCTTTGCTCTTTTCTAATTAAATGCTATCTTTACTGTTAATATGTAGCTTTAATGTAATTTTTCGTCATGACTTCATACCAATATATGTATTTTAACTACGTGTAAACCATGTAAAACAAAACCGGTTCATCCGGATTTTTCTTAATTTCAAAATCGGCAGCCATTTTTTTTTAATTGCAATTTTTCGAATAACTCGAAAACCCGCTTTTGAAAAAAGACGAATAATCGAAAATATTTAAAGGACTATCTTTTGTCTTGCGTCCCTTATGAAAGTTTCATTGTCGGTCACAAATAAATAATTGTGGCAAAATTTCAGCCCCCTTTTTTCAATTATCAAGTAGCGCTAGCAAAAGTAAGAATTTTGAATGAACACAATTTTTTGCCGCAACTTTTTTTTTTAATAAATAATTATGTATAATAAATAAAAACAAATAACCTTATTTTTTTTAGTATAATAAGTGCAAGTTTGAATTAACTAATACCTGCGCTGAATTTTTGGCAAGTTTTTTTTTTAGTGTTTCGTTGCCAAAAATTAACGGTTGGTTCTAGCTATTTAAAACTTGCACCTGATATACAGAAATTGAATGGGTTATATTTAATTGGATGTTAAAAAAATAGAGAGAAACATTTTTTTCATTAGAAATTCCTATTTTTGCGAGCGCTAACTGAAAAATGAGAATATAGGGCTGAAATTTCACCACAATAATTTTTTTTTTGTGGCCGACAATGAAATTTTCATTTGGGACGGAAAGAAAAAAAAAACATTCGTTTAATTTGACCCAGTCTAATGCTCATACATTCAGGCAGTGGCGAACGCAGGGAAAAAATAAAATTTAGATTAAAATAAATTATCTCAAACGAGAAATTTGAAAAGAAGCTTTGTTAAATATTTTTGTGTGTTAATTTTAATCTTCAATCAAAATTCCTTTATTAGATCACCGAAAATAAATAATACATACATTTTATTTAAAAAAGGTGCCTGTTGTCTCGATGTTCCAGAACATGGTTAATAAATTGAATTAAACAAGTTATTTATAATTCGTCTGACATTGATTTCTCTACAACAAAACCTAGATTTAAATCGCTGTTAAATAAAACTAAGTTGAATTTGTGTCTGTATAGTCTGTAAGAAAATTTTCACTTTCTTTTATTATATAAATAAATAAATAAATAGTATATACATGTGTACGTACATTAGGGGGTAGCGCTTTCAAAATAAAAAAATCTATAGTTTTCCAATCGGAATTAAGAATATTATTATATTTTAAGGTTTCTGCTAACATAATCAGGAAAAATATTAAGATTTAGCTGAGCTGGATCAATTCGATAATACGTTCAAAAATCTCTTTACTGTGATTTCATTGGAAAAATGTTTAAGCTCTTTATACTTTTAAGCTTAAACTCTTCTATTATCTGGGGTGATTTTTTGAGAGAAATATTACAAAAAGGAATGTCACACCAAAACCAACTCTTGCTCGGTAACATGCTGCTAATGAGAGCCCTTACACCATCTCTTCTCGCTCCAACACTAGGCGGAGGTGGCCTCTCGACTATCCATCGAATCGGTATATTGCCTTAAGCATCTCATACTTCGCAGTGAGGTGTATAGGAAGGAATCGGAGCTGGAGAATTCCCATTGCTGCAGCTGCATTGCGGTTTTGCAGTTAGTTCGTCCTCGGCGACCACATGAACGTCACCTATAAGGACATAAGACTTGATAAAGCAGGTATGAATATATCCGATCAATTGTTGGACGAGACCTCAAGACCTAATGACCGAGGAATATTTGAGAGATCTGTAGGGGATAAAAATGTAAGCATTGGCTACATAGCTTGTTAAGCCGTTAAGTCGTGCTCTTCTACTTAATACCGTGTATCGTTAATATGAGTTTTCATCATATTTGTCTAGTTCTAGTTAAATCCATTTCGGCTGTTTGAACAGAGTGTTTGCTAACGAAAAATTCAAATGAATTCGGTGCTTTTTCAATCTGTTATTTATATTTGTCTTTCTGATAATCCAGTTTTAAAAAATATTTACTTAAATATGTTTTCTTCATTTCCGTTAAGTGAATTCACAGTATAAAAGAGTTTCAAATTAAAATAAATCATCATTTCGCAAAAGTTTCACTGTGAAGCCAGATGATGAAAGTCTTTACGGCACTATCACTTTTTGCGCTCGCCGCCGTTTTCGTAGAAGGTGACTTATTAGACGTCCAATTCTTGAAAATATTTCACATATTTAATCAGTAAATATTTTTAATAGGACACATTTTGCGACCTGAACGATCTCATAGTTTTGGCAATTCACCAGGATTCGATGGTCCATCAAAATTTGAAGACCCTTCGGCACATGGCGGCTTAGGCGACTTACCAGGATTGGATGCTCCACCACGATTCGGACCTCCTGGTGGTCCATCTCAGTTCGGACCTCCTGGTGATCTACCTCAGTTTGGACCTCCTGCTGGTGGCAATGTCTCATCTTCAACTGCTTCCTCAACCGCCGCTCCATCCTCAACCACCGCTTCATCAACTGCTTCCTCAATTATCTCTTCCACAACCGCCGCTTCATCCTCAGCCGCCTCAGACCCAACTGTCGACCCTGAAGCTCCTTCATCAGCACTCGCGCAATCGTGTTTCGATGAGGCTCTGACTGCCGCTTGCAATTTATTGGTAGCATAAATAAGTATGTAATTGTTTGCTCGGAGCAGATTTTGAATAACTTTTGGAACTCAGTATGTGAAATAAAACATTTCAGCTAATTAAAATAGCTTGAACCTATTGAAGACCAATTTTATTCTTTCATTACTTTTTGACTTCAGGATGTGTACATAGAAGGGATTGAATTGACGAGTGGAGCCGAAAACTACGTCACCAGCTTTATAATTCAATGCAGTCGCATGATAGAGAGTGTTCCTGTCTAAAACCACGTTTGGTATTGAACGGCTCGGACAGGCCTTATCCAATTCTGACGGAGCTGGTGGTGTTGCTCAACATACTTTTACATAGCCGTATTAGTCACCTCAAATTCTTCTAAATACCCAACTTTTTGCTCTCTTTATTAAGGAAAATGGAACTCCCTAGAATCCCTATGTTGTGGGGATTATGCAGCGGCGTAATGTCATGCAGAGTTTTTCTCTCGGCTTCGATGACGCACCATAGATGGCGCTTCATAGAGGGCGATGCTCAAAACTCATTTTGCGAAAGTTGGTGTTTAAGATAAAAAAATATACACCAACAGAGTCATAGCAAAGTACCAAATCTCGTGTAAAAACATTGGGTTCTTAACTACTGCCTGTTGCCGCGCCCAACACCTCAAAGTTATTTTTTCATCAAGAAACAATTTTTTCCGATATCGAAATCGAGCTCATGTTTGTTATTATAGAGTGTTTTGAAATGTTTAAGGTTACTATTAGGTTAGAAGGTACCATGCTGTTGAAGAAGCAGTGTGTGTTGATTGTTTTACAACTTTTCATCATTACATAATTTCATAGGTTTCTGAGATATAAGAAATAACTTGTATGTACTTAGTAAAAAAAAAAATTTTTCATGCTGAATTTTTCTTTTCGCTTTTTTCCCAAAATGTTATAGCCGCAAGACTTTATATAAAAGTAAACTTAAAAGATTTGCACAAGCGGTTTGCGCATTTTTCAGAAAAACATGTTTTAATGTGAACTTATTAATTTTTGTCAGATACAGTCTTCCATTATTTTATCAAAAATACATACCACGTGGAAGTGTTTGGACAAAAATTCCAACTGAATGGAAGAGAATAGTAAATATCGTCTGTTTTTATTCTTTATTTCAATTCTGATAACTTTTATTCCAGACGGAACCCGTTTATAATATAAAAATCGGGATATGTGTGTAAATGTTATTTAAAAGCCCTTCCAAAATATTGCAAAGCAAGTGAAGCCATGTGGAAGAATTTATTTCAAACCAAACCAGCGTCGAAAAGAAAGAAGCTGCAACAACAAAACAGATTTTATGAATCCGAAAAAGGTTGGTTAGAAAAACTTGCACATAATATCCTGAAAATCATTTGGATCCAAAAGTAAAAGGCATGCTTTAAGTAGAGAATTTTGAGGATACACAAACCGAATCTCAATCTTCTGAAGACGAAATAAATTGTCATCATGCAGTGTACCGTTTTCTTGTTGTTTCTTTTTGACGTAATCTTTATAGTAAAAATATGTAAACATGAATTTGCATACTAGGGTGGTCCTTAAAAATAACAATATATAAATGTTATATGGTGTACCCCTTTATCTTTTTCTAGAAACAGAAGAAAGATATTTCCGAAAATTTCAAAAAAATGTTAATTAAATTTTTAGCGGTCGCTGCCAGGGATTGAAAAAATTAATTTTGTTAAATCGCAAACATTCGACATAATTTTGATTTGAAATCTGATAAATTTGATATCATATTGAAAATTATTCATATACATAAATACATACATAAACTCGTAAACTCGCTGACTTAAAGCTGGCCAAACTCGAAATTTTGTCGAAGTTTTGCGATTTGAGAAAATTTTTTTTCGAACGCTATTAGCGACCACTAAAAATGTATTAATTTGATAGCTAATATATGTACCTATTTAAGGATCACCTCTAAATCTTTACGCGAAAGAGTTGCCA